ACTGACTGGCCCGTGCTGGACACACTGGCCCGAGTGTGACTGGTGGCCCACGGCAGCAGTGGCCACTGACTGGCCAGTGCTGGACACACTGGCCCGAGTGTGACTGGTGGCCCACGGCAGCAGTGGCCACTGACTGGCCCGTGCTGGACACACTGGCCCGAGTGTGACTGGTGGCCCACGGCAGCAGTGGCCACTGACTGGCCCGTGCTGGACACACTGCCCGAGTGTGACTGGTGGCCCACGGCAGCAGTGGCCACTGACTGGCCCGTGCTGGACACACTGGCCCGAGTGTGACTGGTGGCCCACGGCAGCAGTGGCCACTGACTGGCCCGTGCTGGACACACTGGCCCGAGTGTGACTGGTGGCCTACGGCAGCAGTGGCCACTGACTGGCCCGTGCTGGACACACTGGCCCGAGTGTGACTGGTGGCCCACGGCAGCAGTGGCCACTGACTGGCCAGTGCTGGACACACTGGCCCGAGTGTGACTGGTGGCCCACGGCAGCAGTGGCCACTGACTGGCCCGTGCTGGACACACTGGCCCGAGTGTGACTGGTGGCCCACGGCAGCAGTGGCCACTGACTGGCCCGTGCTGGACACACTGCCCGAGTGTGACTGGTGGCCCACGGCAGCAGTGGCCACTGACTGGCCCGTGCTGGACACACACTGGCCCGAGTGTGACTGGTGGCCCACGGCAGCAGTGGCCACTGACTGGCCCGTGCTGGACACACACTGGCCCGAGTGTGACTGGTGGCCCACGGCAGCAGTGGCCACTGACTGGCCAGTGCTATTTTCAATACTCTACCGGAGGGCGTTCCGGGGGGGGTCAACGCCCCCGCGGATTAGTCCATGACCAGGCCTCCCGGTAGATCAGGGACTGATCAACGAGGCTGTTACTGCTGGCCTAGTATCGAAATATCATCTTGTCCCTCCTGCCTGTATATATCCATCTTTGAACATGACTACACAGTTGTACGAGACAATTATTATAATAATTATTATTATTATTATTATTATTATTATTATTATTATTATTATATGTATTATTATTAATTATTATTATTATTTTTATTATATTTATTATTATTATTATTATTATTATTATTATTATTATTATTATTATTATTATTATTATTTTGAAAATAGTACAATCTTAATATTCTCGTATCCTTCTCCCATCCTGGCCGTGTTCTTTCCTTAAGTGAATGTGACCTGACCTGACTAGGTTGGGGCATTGGCTAAAGCCGGTAGGAGACTTGGACGTACCTCGCATGGGCCAGTAGGCCTGCTGCAGTGTTCCTTCTTTCTTATGTTCTTATGAACAGTGAAGGTACAAAGAGTAATCCTTGTGGGGAATATATGTATTATAGGAAGCCGAAGTACATGAAGAATGAGTATAATCACAAACCGCTGTATTAGCGATATGCTGTAAAGCGAGGCCCTCCTGTACCTAATTTCAGTTGGATAAATCTTACTGAAGCCAGCTGGCTCAGTGGTTAACGCACTGGCCTGTGTGCTTTAGGGTTCAAACCCCACCCGATTAGTGATTTTCCTTTACCTGGAGGTTACCTGGAGGTTATTCCGGGGATCAACGCCCCCGCGGCCCTGTCCATGACCAGGCCTCCCGATGGATCAGGGCCTGATCAACTAGGCTTTGTATCCCATTGTGGTGGACTCTTCCTAAACACTGTAATTACATAAAAATAATTACCGATCGGACTTCTCAGTGGAAGATCTATATTTCATGGGTCCAGCTTGCTTCTTTTCCCGGAAAAAAAGAGGTATCTGTCGCATTTTGGTTAGAACTATTTCTTTGTCTTGCTTATTTCTGGGCTTTACTAGCTTCCTGTGACGTGTCCACCACGTCAGTGTCCGGTCCAGGGCGAGGGTTATCTCAGGGCGGTAACACTACAAGACTCTCTAGTGTCTCCGAAGACGTGAGGGCTGATCCATCGCGTCCCCAGGCTTCTCTATTTCCCATGGTTCAGTAGGTCTCTGCTGTCACAGCCGCGATGTTACGATGTTATCCGATAGCTGCTGCTGATGTACTAGCACTGGTGTTACTGATGCTGGTGCTACTGATGCTGGTGTTACTGGTGCTGGTGCTGCTGAGGCTGGTGCTACTGATGCTGGTGCTACTGATGCTGGTGCTGCTGAGGCTGGTGCTGCTGAGGCTGGTGCTACTGATGCTGGTGCTACTGATGCTGGTGCTACTGATGCTGGTGCTGCTGAGGTTGGTGCTACTGATGGTGCTACTGATGCTGGTGCTACTGATGCTGATGTTACTGGTGCTGGTGCTGCTGAGGCTGGTGCTACTGATGCTGGTGCTACTGATGCTGGTGCTGCTGAGGCTGGTGCTACTGATGGTGCTACTGATGCTGGTGCTACTGATGCTGGTGCTACTGATGCTGGTGTTACTAGTGCAGGTGCTGCTGAGGCTGGTGCTACTGATGCTGGTGCTACTGATGCTGGTGCTGCTGAGGCTGGTGCTACTGATGGTGCTACTGATGCTGGTGCTACTGATGCTGGTGCTACTGATGCTGGTGTTACTAGTGCAGGTGCTGCTGAGGCTGGTGCTACTGATGCTGGTGCTACTGATGCTGGTGCTGCTGAGGCTGGTGCTACTGATGGTGCTACTGATGCTGGTGCTACTGATGCTGGTGCTGCTGAGGCTGGTGCTACTGATGATGCTACTGATGCTGGTGCTACTGATGCTGGTGCTACTGATGCTGGTGCTACTGATGCTGGTGCTACTGATGCTGGTGTTACTGGTGCAGGTGCTACTGATGCTGGTGCTACTGATGCTGGTGCTACTGATGCTGGTGCAACTGATGCTGGTACTACTGATGCTGGTGTTACTGATGCTGGTGCTACTGGTGCAGGTGCTACTGATGCTGGTGCTACTGATGCTGGTGCTACTGATGCTGGTGATTCTGATGCTGGTGCTACTGATGCTGGTGCTTCTGATGCTGGTGCTACTGATGCTGGTGCTACTGATGCTGGTGTTACTGATGCTGGTGCTACTGATGCTGGTGCTACTGATGCTGGTGCTACTGATGCTGGTGTTACTGATGCTGGTGCTACTGATGCTGGTGCTACTGATGCTGGTGCTACTGATGCTGGTGTTACTGATGCTGGTGCTACTGATGCTGGTGCTACTGATGCTGGTGCTACTGATGCTGGTGCTACTGATGCTGGTGCTGCTGATGCTGGTGCTACTGATGCTGGTGCTACCGGTGCTCTTGCTGATGGCGCTGCTACCGCCAGTGCTACTGTTCCTACTGGTAGTTGAGGTGCTGTAGATACCGTTGCAATCTACACTGCTGCTGTGCGTATTTCCTACGAGCCCAGCTGTTCTTGTTATGGTTTCTGTTGGACGCTAAATTACTGTTCTATTTGTTCTCTGAGTACAGTTCTTGCTGTGGCTATGCTGCATACTGAAATGTTTCAGTGGCTGTTAATTGGAAACCGCGTTCTTAGTGTGGTTGCTGCTGTTCATTCTAGTTGGTCATAACTATGACCATAATTTTTAAAGGGGTGGACCGATAAGCCAGTGGAAGGCCTCGGTCAGATGACCTAAAGCTCCCACGGCTGGTCATCATTTGAGACCCGCGTCAGGAATCACTTGTCCTGTTTCCTGACGAACTTTGCCTAACCTAGGCTGCTGTTCACGAAAGTGCTGTGGTAGTTCTCTACTAGCCTAGTTCTTGCTGTGATAGTTCTCTACTAGCCTAGTTCTTGCTGTGGTAGTTCTCTACTAGCCTAGTTCTTGCTGTGATAGTTCTCTACTAGCCTAGTTCTTGCTGTGGTAGTTCTCTACTAGCCTAGTTCTTGCTGTGATAGTTCTCTACTAGCCTAGTTCTTGCTGTGGTAGTTCTCTACTAGCCTTGTTCTTGCTGTGGTAGTTCTCTACTAGCCTAGTTCTTGCTGTGGTAGTTCTCTACTAGCCTAGTTCTTGCTGTGATAGTTCTCTACTAGCCTAGTTCTTGCTGTGATAGTTCTCTACTAGCCTAGTTCTTGCTGTGATAGTTCATAACACTCGAAGTAACGATTAAACTTACATGTAGAAAGTATTTTCCAGTAATAAATAACAAAAAGGCACAATACCGTGACTGGAACGATACACAAATAACCCGCACATAAAAGACAGAAGCTTACGACGACGTTTCGGTCCGACTTGGACCATTGACAAAGTCACACTAACAGAGGTGGAGCAGGACGGCTATATATAGGCAGGAAGAGGTGGAGGTAGTAGTAGTGGTAGTAGTAGTAGTAGTAGTAGTACAAGAATTGTATATAATACCGACAGGATGAAATGACACATGCACAACACCCGGGCATCCCCACCGTAGACGTTTCGCCATCCAGCCAGCCACTGGATGGCGAAACGTCCACAACAAAGACAACCAGACGCCGCACATGTGTCGGACCGAAACGTCGTCGTAAGCTTCTGTCTTTTATGTGCGGGTTATTTGTGTATTTTCCAGTATTGAGTTTAAGTGAGAATATCCTACTAGCATCAAGGCTCACTCCCTCCACCAGTTGGTAATCATACAGCCGGGCCAGGAGCTGTAAATCGAACTCTGCAAAGTAAACTAGGCGAATACACTTTTTATATGGAAAGTTCTGTAATAAATAAATAAATATATATATATATATATATATATATATATATATATATATATATTATATATATATATATATTATATATATATATAGTATATACGTTAACACCTTCATTCTGGTGTTTTTGAACCAAAAATGTTTTGATTTTAGTGGAAAATTTATTTTTAAAAATATGACAGAAAAATCATTAAAAGAGCGAAAATATTGTGAATGTCAAAGGTTCTCGTTTAGTGTCAGTCATCTGAGTTTCATTTTGTTACGATTCATTCACACAGCTCTGTGTAACACCGTTTTTTTTCCTGTGCACATTTTTACATACAGTACATTTGATTTTCTCATTTTCAATGTTGATAAATATGCTTTCCTTTATTTTCAGATATGTTGAAAATCTCCACCAGCTGTATCAACGGAACCAGAACCCACTCTTGAGCACACCAGATGGGGCTGGATTATGTTAGATGTTGAAGAAATCCGTTCTTGAGGGTACCAGATGCGGCTGGATTTTTTAAAAGTTGCAGAAATACGCTTTTGAAGGCACTAAATGCGGTTGGATCCTTTTTGAAGTTGAAGAAATCTGTTCTTGAAGACACCAGTTCCTGCTGGATCCTTTTACGAGCACTCTAGATTCTGCAGAACCCACTCTTCATGACACCAGTTGCGGCTGGATCCTTTTACGAACACTCGAGAATCTGCAGAACCCACTCTTCTGGACATCACTTGTGACTGGATCCTTTTACGGGCACTGTAACGGCTGCAGAACCCACTTCTAGAAGCCTAAGAATCAATTTGAGACTTCCAGGAGGCGCAGCAGCAGAAGGAGAGTCCATATTTTAGGAACCAGAAGGATTAGAACCCTCTTTGAGGACAACAGAAGCAGTGTAATGCACAGCGGAGATCAGAAGTAAGAGGATTAACGCTCAGGGTACCGCCAGCACTAGTAGAATCAACCCCTAGGTTCTCAGAGGCGGTAAAACATATTTTGAGAGAACTGGCAAAAAAATTAATTTCTTTCTCAGGAAAATATCAGCAGCTAGTTACCCTCCAAGGACACCAGCGGTGGTACGACAAGTTTTTGAGATCCCCCTGATGTTGCTGCAGCAATGTGAACTTCTGTTGTAAACACTAGTGGAACCCAGTTGACTTGTAGAACACCCTCAAATTTTCCAAACACTCTTTTGAAATTTCTAAGTTTAGTCAACAAAGGTTTTCAAATCAAGTTGTGAAATTCCTAAGCTTATTCAATGACACATCAATGTTTTAGAGTAATGAAAGCATAATTTTAAGGCGCTCGTAACTCGGCTTATTGTTAAGGTGTGGAGTACCAGGTCTCCAGTACTGAAGTGTGGCTGGTGAGGACTGATGTTGGTGATGGTGATGTGAGGTTGGTCACAAACATGGAGCCTGCTCCACCACCTACCTCGTCTCCTACACCGTTGCTGCTGCTGCTGCTGCTTCTGCTTGTCCTCTGCTGCCTCGCCCCTGAGCCTGTCTGCTGCCTACATACTGGTGAGTAACACATTTCCGTCTAACCTTTAACTTGAGACTCGGCTTTGCTCTCCTGGTGGGATGAGGCGTAGTGGCTAGCCTACTACTCACGTTAACTTTGAAGTAAATCGTAAACAGATAGGTAGTTTTCTTTTCCCTCGAGATTACCTGACTGATGATTGAGTCTACAAAACTCCTAGTGCTGGTAGGCAACAAAAGCGCCTGAACAGCAGATCAGAACGTGTACCAGACGAGAGTACCCTTGAAGTGAGATTAGTGTTGGCCCCCTTCCTTCATCCATGGAAATGGTACTACCCTTCCCCCATTTCTCGGATAAATTCTAATGGTTCTCCCATTTCTTCAAGCCAATGCATGGCTCCTAGGGATTTAGCGCTTCCCCTTGAACACAGACATGCTAATTGTATTGTTTACTATCCTGTAAGTGAACATGCCGATATAACAACAGTACTTGACAGTGCCACTGATCCTATGGGTGAATATGACACCATAGCGACAGTACTGGACAGTGGCACTCATCCTGTGAGTGAATATGGCACTATAGCGACAGTACTGGACAGTGCCACTCATCCTGAGGGTGAATATGGCACCATAGTGGCAGTACTGGGCAGTGTCACTCATCCTGTGGTTGAATGTGACACCATAGCGACAGTACTGGACAGTGCCACTCATCCTGTGGGTGAACATGACACCATAGTGACAGTACTGGACAGTGTCACTCATCCTGTGGATGAACATGACACCATAGCGACAGTATTGGACAGTGCCACTGATCCTGTGGATGAACATGACACCATAGCGACAGTACCACTCATCCTATGGGTGAACATGACACCATAGCGACAGTACTGGACAGTGCCACTCATCCTGTAACAAGTGGCACTCGTGTCATCGATATTTCTTCAAATCTGAGATCGACTGCTGAATGAACACTGTATAGTGTTCACTCAACGATCACTCTCACGATTTATACAGTAATCTGACGATTTATACAGTTACTCTCACGATTTATACAGTTACTCTCACGATTTATATAGTTACTCTCACGATTTATACAGTTACTCTCACGATTTATATAGTTACTCTCACGATTTATACAGTAATCTGACGATTTATACAGTTACTCTCACGATTTATACAGTTACTCTCACGATTTATACAGTTACTCTCACGATTTATATAGTTACTCTCACGATTTATACAGTTACTCTCACGATTTATACAGTTACTCTCACGATTTATATAGTTACTCTCACGATTTATATAGTTACTCTCACGATTTATACAGTTACTCTCACGATTTATATAGTTACTCTCACGATTTATACAGTAATCTGACGATTTATACAGTTACTCTCACGATTTATACAGTTACTCTCACGATTTATACAGTTACTCTCACGATTTATATAGTTACTCTCACGATTTATATAGTTACTCTCACGATTTATACAGTTACTCTCACGATTTATATAGTTACTCTCACGATTTATATAGTTACTCTCACGATTTATACAGTTACTCTCACGATTTATATAGTTACTCTCACGATTTATACAGTTACTCTCACGATTTATACAGTTACTCTCACGATTTATATAGTTACTCTCACGATTTATATAGTTACTCTCACGATTTATATAGTCAGCTTAGTTATTCTGTTCTTCACTTTTTTGTTGTTAGTTTCCTGGCTGGTGAGACTCAGTCCAGGTTTTGCTTAATAGAAATTTTATTTTAGCTTAAAGAGAGAGGTTGGTGGTAGTGTCGACGCCCTTTACCTTTACCTTCTTTGCTGCTTAGATTATTATCTAATCTTCCTCAGTTATTCCATTGATGGAATGGAATACCGATAAGTTGACGGCTCAGTCTCATGAGCGAAACCTGGTTATCTGTAATGTGATGTTTCGCTAAATAGTGGCTCTTCTCAATTCGGTTCAGAGTTTATAATGTGGTATTAGTATCTGTAGTGAATTAATATAGAAAAACACTTGTACACCTGTTTCACCTCTTGGGGACTTTGTTTATAAGTTTTTCCCAGAACTTAGTGAGTTCATACCATCCACAGGATGGATAGGAGGTGCACAGTATACTAGCCAATACCATCCACAGGATGGATAGGAGGTGCACAGTATACTAGCCAATACCATCCACAGGATGGATAGGAGGTGCACAGTATACTAGCCAATACCATCCACAGGATGGATAGGAGGTGCACAGTATACTAGCCAATACCATCCACAGGATGGATAGGAGGTGCACAGTATACTAGCCAATACCATCTACAGGATGGATAGGAGGTGCACAGTATACTAGCCAATACCATCCACAGGATGGATAGGAGGTGCACAGTATACTAGCCAATACCATCTACAGGATGGATAGGAGGTGCACAGTATACTAGCCAATACCATCCACAGGATGGATAGGAGGTGCACAGTATACTAGCCAATACCATCTACAGGATGGATAGGAGGTGCACAGTATACTAGCCACTACCATCCACAGGATGGATAGGAGGTGCACAGTATACTAGCCAATACCATCTACAGGATGGATAGGAGGTGCACAGTATACTAGCCACTACCATCCACAGGATGGATATGAGGTGCACAGTATACTAGCCAATACCATCTACAGGATGGATAGGAGGTGCACAGTATACTAGCCAATACCATCTACAGGATGGATAGGAGGTGCACAGTATACTAGCCACTACCATCCACAGGATGGATAGGAGGTGCACAGTATACTAGCCAATACCATCTACAGGATGGATAGGAGGTGCACAGTATACTAGCCACTACCATCCACAGGATGGATATGAGGTGCACAGTATACTAGCCACTACCATCCACAGGATGGATAGGAGGTGCACAGTATACTAGCCAATACCATCTACAGGATGGATATGAGGTGCACAGTATACTAGCCAATACCATCTACAGGATGGATATGAGGTGCACAGTATACTAGCCAATACCATCCACAGGATGGATATGAGGTGCACAGTATACTAGCCACTACCATCTACAGGATGGATATGAGGTGCACAGTATACTAGCCACTACCATCTACAGGATGGATATGAGGTGCACAGTATACTAGCCAATACCATCTACAGGATGGATATGAGGTGCACAGTATACTAGTCAATACCATCTACAGGATGGATATGAGGTGCACAGTATACTAGCCAATACCATCTACAGGATGGATATGAGGTGCACAGTATACTAGCCAATACCATCTACAGGATGGATATGAGGTGCACAGTATACTAGCCACTACCATCCACAGGATGGATATGAGGTGCACAGTATACTAGCCAATACCATCTACAGGATGGATATGAGGTGCACAGTATACTAGCCACTACCATCCACAGGATGGATATGAGGTGCACAGTATACTAGCCAATACCATCTACAGGATGGATATGAGGTGCACAGTATACTAGCCAATACCATCTACAGGATGGATATGAGGTGCACAGTATACTAGCCAATACCATCTACAGGATGGATAGGAGGTGCACAGTATACTAGCCAATACCATCCATAGGATGGATAGGAGGTGCACAGTATACTAGCCAATACCATCTACAGGATGGATAGGAGGTGCACAGTATACTAGCCAATACCATCTACAGGATGGATAGGAGGTGCACAGTATACTAGCCATTACCATCCACAGGATGGATATGAGGTGCACAGTATACTAGCCAATACCATCTACAGGATGGATAGGAGGTGCACAGTATACTAGCCAATACCATCTACAGGATGGATAGGAGGTGCACAGTATACTAGCCAATACCATCTACAGGATGGATAGGAGGTGCACAGTATACTAGCCAATACCATCCACAGGATGGATATGAGGTGCACAGTATACTAGCCAATATCATCTACAGGATGGATATGAGGTGCACAGTATACTAGCCACTACCATCCACAGAATGGATATGAGGTGCACAGTATACTAGCCATTACCATCCACAGGATGGATAGGAGGTGCACAGTATACTAGCCAATACCATCTACAGGATGGATATGAGGTGCACAGTATACTAGCCAATACCATCTACAGGATGGATAGGAGGTGCACAGTATACTAGTCAATACAATCTACAGGATGGATATGAGGTGCACAGTATACTAGCCAATACCATCTACAGGATGGATAGGAGGTGCACAGTATACTAGCCAATACCATCCACAGGATGGATATGAGGTGCACAGTATACTAGCCAATGCCATCTGCAGGATGGATATGAGGTGCACAGTATACTAGCCACTACCATCCACAGGATGGATATGAGGTGCACAGTATACTAGCCAATACCATCTACAGGATGGATATGAGGTGCACAGTATACTAGCCACTACCATCCACAGGATGGATATGAGGTGCACAGTATACTAGCCATTACCATCCACAGGATGGATAGGAGGTGCACAGTATACTAGCCAATACCATCTACAGGATGGATATGAGGTGCACAGTATACTAGCCAATACCATCTACAGGATTGATATGAGGTGCACAGTATACTAGCCACTACCATCCACAGGATGGATACGAGGTGCACAGTATACTAGTCAATACCATCTACAGGATGGATATGAGGTGCACAGTATACTAGCCACTACCATCCACAGGATGGATAGGAGGTGCACAGTATACTAGCCAATACCATCTACAGGATGGATATGAGGTGCACAGTATACTAGCCACTACCATCCACAAGATGGATATGTGGTGTACAATAAACTAGCCACTTCGGTGACAAAATCAAATCAAGGAAGAAGCCAACGATCTGTCTTGTTGCTTCGTCACTTCCCCAGAAGAGAGAGAACTGAGAGAAGATTGGTAACAAGGGTTAGGAAAGGCTTATTTCTCCCTGGGATGGCGTGGAGGATAGGGGAGGGAAGGTTATTAGCGGCTACTGGCCAGATTAAAATCTAAATAAACTTCTAGGCCGGTAGGGGATAGGAGGTGTAGGAGGCCCTGAGCGTCGAGTGGTCGGGGATAGAAGGGACTGAGGGGTAGGTTCATGTTCGAACCTATGAACCACGACAAGGGAGAGTAGTGTGTGTATTTATACCCGGCAATACCGAGTAAAGGGTAGCTTTTACAAGCTGAAGAAAGATATAACACACAATTCAGCCTGTAGAAGCCCAGTTATTAATTCTAATACACCTCCGTGTTGTAGTACCATCTGGCTGGTTTACGGTGCACTTCCCTCCCGCCCAATGACAGCGTTCAAGGAGCCATCAGCGTAAATGGCCTGTGTGGTATTACTTTTTTGTCTGCAGGTCGTGTGTGTGTTCCAGTGAGCTGACTCTTACAAATTTGTCAGTGCAGAATGTTCATGCTGAGTTTCTTGGGAAGGTAATCTAGCAGCACACAAATAACCCGTACATGGAGAGAAAAGCTTATGACGACGTTTCTGTCCAACTTGAACCATTAACTAGTCACATAGTATATGACCAATCACACAATGTGTGACTAACCACACAGCGTGTGAAAAGTCACATAGTGTGTGACTATTTAATGGTTAACGTCCTATAGGGTGAGTCAAATTTCATCCCAAATATGTGAACTTCATCTCCCGCTCATTTTTACCACTGCTCCAGCATTGCCATCATGGCGCCTACAGATCATTATTACGTGTGTTTTCTCAGAAGCAAATGTAACCTGCCATCGTTTCTCCAGGCTGATATAGCTGGTGATTAATGTAACTGAGAGCAGCTGGAATTTCCTCTCTTGGATAAATAAATGTCAAAGTACAATCGTCTGCATATGCATGTGATTCTGGGATGAGATGAAGGTCATTGAAGGAGACATTCCATAACAATGGTCCCAGCATACTTCCTGTGGAACACTGGCATCAATAGTGTCTTGCTGACTGTCCCACTTAGAACTACTCTTAGAGATCTACCTACCATGAAGGTAATTACTGAGGACACCTAGTGCAGAGCCAGCGACTCCTAGTGCTTGCAGTTTGCCCAAGTCTCTCTTGCTAAAAATTGTTGTAAACCCCGGCTATGTCCGCTGTGTTACACAGCCGACCTTGGATTCATATCTCTATCTCTTTACCTCATGTACCTAGATAATACATGATAGTCTTACTCTAACATAGAATTAGAGTTCTCAGCAGAATTTAGGTGTGGACCTCTCCATGTGTCTCTGTCTCTGTCTCTGTGTATCTCTCTCTTTCCCTGGTTTCCTGGTACATATAAAACTACCAGTCTTAACAACACGCTGTAAGAGCTGCTGTCAGAGGCAGTAAAGACTAAACAACAGCTTTAGCTGTTGTAAAACGTAATGTAAAAAAAAGGGGAGAGGGAGACGAGGCAATAACATCATTTATTATCATTGTTTCAATTCCTCCTCCACTCTTTAAATTATATTTAAAAATTTCTCAAAATTTTTTAACCGTGTTGGAACTTTTATGCGCATATATATATATAATATATATATATATATATATATATATATATATTATATTATAATATATATATATATATATATATATATTATATATGTGTCGTGCCGAATATGTAAAACTGGTCAATTAGCAAGAACTCATTTAGAATTAAGTCCTTTCTAAAATTTTCTCTTATACGTTTAAAGATATATTTTTTCATTAATGTTGATGTAAAAATTTATAATTTTGTACCAAAAGGAACTTAGAAAACTTACCTAACCTTATTATAACAAGAACAATTTATTTTAGCCTAACCCAACTAAATATATTTTAGATTTGTTTACAATAATTTAATAATAAACAAACACAGTGAAATATATTTTTTTTGTTAGGTTCAGAATGATTTTGGCGAAATTATTGCATACACAAATTTTCACTTGTCCTATATGGCAAGATGAGCGTTGCTATTTAAGCTAAGATCGCAAGTTCTGCCTATTCGGCACGACATATATATATATATATAATATATATATATATATATAATATAATATATATATATATATAATATATATATATATATATATATGTGTGTGTGTGTGTGTGTGTGTGTGTGTGTGTGTGTGTGTGTGTGTGTGTGTGTGTGTGTGTGTGTGTGTAAATTGTCTATTTTTTTTAATTTGACTTATAGATGAACTTTTTTTTATATATAATTTATAAAAGTTTGAAAACTGTGAGGTGCTTCACTTGTTAATTAACCTGTATGTACCTGGTTGACCTGTGTGTCAGGTCAGTGTGACGTGGCTCTGGGTATGCAGTCTGGCGTCATCCCTGACGAACACATCTCCGCCTCCTCCTACTTCGACGCCGCCGTCAACGCCATCTATGGGAGGTGAGTGCAACCTCTATTTTCAACACTGTAGCTGTGTGAAGGAGTGTCACGTCTTAATAGCACCGTCAACGCCATCTGTGGGAGGTGGGAGTAACCTGCGCTGTCAACACTGTAGCTGTGTGAAGGAGTGTCACGTCTTAATAGCACCGACAACGCCATCTGTGGGAGGTGGGAGTAACCTGCGCTGTCAACACTGTAGCTGTGTGAAGGAGTGTCACGTCTTAATAGCACTGTCAACGCCATCTGTGGGAGGTGGGAGCAACCTCCACCGTCATCATTGTTAGTTGCTGTGTGTAGCAGTTTTAAGCTTCCTTACCGTGATACCGAGAGAGGTGTTTACCTCTGGTTAACACCTCTTCCGAAACATCATCGATACGAAGAAGAAATATACAATATCGTGACTGGAACAAAACACAGATATGACGACGTTTCTGTCAGACTTGGATCGACTTTGTAAATGGTCCAAGTCGGACCGAAACATCGTCGTTAGCTTCTCTCTACTAAATCTCCCTTCTTTTTTACCTTGTACTTCAGAGCGCACGTCGAGGTGGGTGGAGGTGCCTGGTGTCCCAGGGAGATGGTGTACCGGGAGGGGGCCCAGTACCTGGAGGTCAACCTCGGAGGCCTGCACGTGGTGACCAAGGTGGAGGTGCAAGGCAGGTTCGGCAATGGGCAGGGAAGAGAGTTCGCTAAGCAGTACAAGTTGCAGATGTGGCGGCCCGGCATGGACCACTGGACCACTTACAGTGACGGTCGTGGCGAGGAGGTGAGTACCGGTCCACTGCTGGTGGCCCAGCATGGACCACTGGACCACTTATAGTGACGGTCGTGGCGAGGAGGTGAGTACCGGTCCACTGCTGGTGGCCCGGCATGGACCACTGGTCCCTAAAAGAAAGGAGGATAACAAGCATTCATTTGTGTATACTTAATTGGTTCCTAGGTGGTGTTGGAACTGTAAAAGTTCGATATCCGAATCAGTATTTCCCGACTTTAGTTATCAGTCTCACACTGGAGGATGTCGAACTGACTCTTCCAAGGGAGGTCCCTTGACGCTGGCGAGGGACTCTTGATCTAGGGAACTGGATTTTCCCTTCCATCCCCCCCCCACAGGCGCTATATAATCCTATGGGATTAGCGCTCCCCTATGATTATAATAATTACATAATCTGAGAGTCAGGTCAGTGTCGATGGTCACTTCAAAGCACTTTTGAAACAGGGTTTTCCTGTAAAGTTTTTTTACAGCTGAACTGTAAACAAGTCACCGCGTTCGGACTCCAGAAAAACGTTCAAAGACCGGGTCAATATTTTCTGAACAAAATTGTCCCAACTTCGGCTTGTTGGAGGTCCGGTCGAACACCGAGGTTCCACTATTTAGTAACTTGGTGTCAAAACAGGTGTCAAGAAAACGGGTGTCAAAGAACACATGTCAAGAACATAGGTGTCAAAGAACACATGTGTCAAGAACACGTGTCAAGTACACAGGTGTCAACGAACACATGTGTCAAGAACACAGGTGTCAATAAACACATGTGTTAAGAACACGTGTCAAGAACACAGGTGTCAAAGAACACATGTGTCAAGAGCATGGGTGTCATAGAACATATGTGTCAAGAACACAGGTGTCAAAGAACACACGTGCAACTAACAGGGGAACAGGGGAGATTATTATCAGAACGTTTCGCTGTCCAGGAGCTAGTAACGGCTTAACAAAGCTCCTGGAGAGCGAAACGTTGCCACAATAAAATGACACATTAGTTACACCTGTGTCCTTTTACCTAACATTGTCGGTAATTCTACCAACATTTATAAAGTAGGAAAAACGGATTTTGAAGATGCCATTAAGAATGATTTTAATTATTCTCCCCTCAAGGTGAGGGGCTCTTGATCTAAGGAATTGGATCTGTGCTCCAGTTCCCTGAATTAATCCCTAATGCCTTCCATAACCCTCCTTCCCCTCTCCACAGGTGCTATAGAATCCCTGTTTAATTATACTGAGGGATTAGTATTAGTATAATAATAATAATAATAATTAGAATAATAATAACTATTCTATACCACGAAAATAATACATATTAGCACAATGACCAAAAATATTATCCCCTAGACAGGATATATACACCGAGAGGTATATTTGTGTATATACACCGAGAGGTATGTCTGTGTATATACACAGAGAGATGCCTGTGTATATACACTGAGAGATGCCTGTGCATATACACTGAGAGAGATGTCTGTGTATATATACTGGGAGAGATGTCTGTGTATATACACTGAGAGAGATGTCTGTGTATATATACTGGAGGATTCTGTATATCACTGAGAGATGTCTGTGTATATACACTGAGAGAGATGTCTGTGTATATACACTGAGAGAGATGCCTGTGTATATACACTGAGAAATGTGTCTGTGTATATACACTGAGAGAGATGTCTGTGTATATACACTGAGAGAGATGCCTGTGTATATACACTGAGAGAGATGCCTGTGTATATACACTGAGAGAGATGTCTGTGTATATACACTGAGAGATGTCTGTGTACATGCATTGAGAGATGTGTCTGTGTATATACACTGAGAGATGTGTCTGTGTATATACACTGAGAGATGTCTGTGTACATGCACTGAGAGATGTGTCTGTGTATATACACTGAGAGATGTGTCTGTGTATATACACTGAGAGAGATGTCTGTGTATATACACTGAGAGATGTCTGTGTACATGCATTGAGAGATGTGTCTGTGTATATACACTGAGAGATGTGTCTGTGTATATACACTGAGAGAGATGTCTGTGTATATACACTGAGAGAGATGCCTGTGTATATACAATGAGAGAGATGTCTGTGTATATACACTGAGAGATGTCTGTGTACATGCACTGAGAGATGTGTCTGTGTATATACACTGAGAGATGTGTCTGTGTATATACACTGAGAGAGATGTCTGTGTATATACACTGAGAGATGTCTGTGTACATGCACTGAGAGATGTGTCAGTGTATATACACTGATGTTAATACACAGAGATTTGGATATACCTGGCAGATGTCCTGTGGTAGCACAGAGTGATGTGCATCTTGAACGTACCCTAGAGATAGTCGATATACCTGGAGATTGTACCTGGGGAGAGTGTCTGTATATCAACGTCCCCGCGGCGGAGCAGGTCTGTGACCATGGCCCTCCACTGGTAAACCCCATTAATAAAGCAAACATTCACCCATAATCTAGATAACAGTGACTGGAAAGGTAGACTTAATTTACTTAGACTCTGGAGAGGAGACTTAAGACATTTGGACTTCATCCTGGACCCCCTTGAGGGGTTGTGTTCTTCAGTATTTTCTTAATAAAATTAATATTATGACTACTACTACTGTTACTACTACTACTGTTACTAACTACTACTACTACTACTACTAATTAATAGTACTGTTACTACTACTACTACTACTACTACTACTACTACTACTACTACTATTACTACCACTACTACCACTACTGTTATTATTACTAGTATTAGTATTACTGCTACTACCACTAATGTACTACCACTGCTACTATTACTACTATTGCTACCACTACTGTTATTAGCACTGTTACTACTACTATTACTTTTAATACTACTATTACTTTTAATACTACTATTACTATTACTACTACTACTACCACCACTACTGTTATTACTACTATTATTACTACTACTATTCATCTAGTGACCTGTTTCTGGTATTTTCGTCACCTGACCTGCTTCCGCCTCCCTCTACGACCTGTCCTCTGATTTTCTACTCATTATCTCGCTCACTTGTGACTTGACAATAACCCAGGACGTCATGAAACATCCTTTGAACTTAACTCTCCAAAGTATAAGTTATTTGTGAGATATTCCAGCAATAACATAACTTTTATGATTCACAAACTGAATATTTCGTCCTTGCTAAAGATGGCCTCGGATACAGGCGAAATATCCAATTTTATCATTATTTTGATAGTGTTTATAATAAACTTTCTGATACAGCTTAGAAAATATTTTCACTTTTGTAGTGATCTTTTTTTTGGGGGGGAAATACAACTGGGTCATTTTTTTTTTTACGTATTATTCAAATTTTTGGTGACCTCTTTTAATTGTACTTTTAATTAAAATAAATACACTTAACAGAAGAACTGTTATTATAGAAATTACGAATATAAAACAACAGAAACAACTGAGAAACACCACTGACGTAATTATTATTATTATTATTATTATTATTGCAATCATAAGTATGCGCTAAACCCACTAGGGTCAGTAAAATATCCTCGTCAAGCTTCACCCTTAACACGGTTTCCAGTTCTGGTCCCTGAATTTGACAGAAGATGAACTAGAGAAAGTCCCAAGAACAACAACAAAACTAGTACCTTGACTTAGAAACAAGGTATATCTAGAGAGTGTGGAAGAAGACGTTTATGTACAGTTTAGAACATTTATTAGACGAAACGTTTCGCCACGAGTGACTTCTTTAGTCCTATAGAGATACCTAAGACACGAGTGTATATGTAGTGTCAGGAGTCAGGTGGTTAGCGAGAGGGTAGTAGTAGCAGTTGTAGGAGGGAGAAGATTATGACGACGTTTCGGTCCGACTTGGACCATTCACAAGTCACACTGACACATGAGAGTGAGGGAGCCAGTATAGTCGAGGGAACTACTTCCACTACCAGCATTACCACTACGTCTCCACTTCTTCCTCTCTTTGTCCCGTCCCTGTTCCCTCGCCTATACATACTGGCTCCCTCACCCTCGTGTGTTAGTGTAACTTGTAAATGGTGCAAATCGGACCAAGTCGACCTATGTGCGGGATATCTGCGTATTACAGTAGTATAATTTTTTCCTATAGTAGCAGTATAATTTTTGTTTACAGTAACAGTATAATTTTGGTGAGATTCAGACTTAATTTCTTCTCTTACAGGAAGCCGAGACTACGAGATCTCATTCAGACACTTAATATATTAAGAAAATTTGACATTCTTACGTTATAATACCTACTTACAATGCAATGTGAGTAAATGAGAGGAAATATTAGCATGAAACTCAGAGGCAAGAGATAGTGTGGAGGGCTCGTAGCTTTCCCAGGGTCGTCGACGCCTCCTGGGGTTGCTGCCCCCAGGGGGCGTCGATTTCCCTGGAGGTTGGAGAAAATTTCTCCACAGATAGCACTCTGTAGGGGTAAATTTTTGATAGCAGAGTTTAGAGAAGAGTGAAACTCCCTCACTAAAGTTGTAAGTTGAAAAACAGGGCCTTTATGGTCAATGTTGGATTTATTTAGAGTAAAGTTACTGTAACGTTCATATTGACACTCGTTTCTCTGCCCCACTCACCTCTCCCTCTCTACCCCACTCACCTCTCTCTCGCCCTCTCTACCCCACTCACCTCTCTCTCGCCCTCTCTACCCCACTCACCTCTCTCTCGCCCTCTCTCCCACAGTTGCTGGAGGGGAACACCAACACATACCTGGCGCAGACCTCTCAGTTGAGTCCACCCATCATAGCGGCCAGGGTGAGGTTCGTGCCTTACAGCGACCACCCTCGTACAGTGTGTATGAGAGTGGAGATCTACGGTTGTCGCTACACTGGTGAGTCCTACCACTGTGTTGTAGCAGCTGGTGTTATGTTGTAGCAGCTGGTGCTGTGTTGTAGTAGCTGGTGCTGTGTTGTAGCAGCTTGTGCTGTGTTGTAGTAGCTGGTGGTGTGTTGTAGTAGCTGGTGCTGTGTTGTAGCAGCTGGTGCTGTGTTGAAGTAGCTGGTGATGTGTTACAGCAGCTGGTGCTGTGTTGTAGCAGCTTGTGCTGTGTTGTAGTAGCTGGTGGTGTGTTGTAGCAGCTGGTGCTGTGTTGTAGCAGCTGGTGCTGTATTGTAGCAGCTGGTGCTGTGTTGAAGCATCTGGTGCTGTGTTGCTGCAGCTGGTGTTGTGTTGCAGCAGATGGTGCTATGTTGTAGCAGCTGTTGCTATACTGTAACAGTTGGTGCTATATTGTAACAGCTGGTGCTATAATGTAACAGCTGGTACTATACTGTAACAGGTGGTGCTATACTGTAACAGGTGGTGCTATGAAATAACCAGGGATGTGTCACAGACTGAGATATGACCAGGGATGTGGAGGACCTGGATCAGTGGGTATTATCCTGAGCTCTTGATTCAAGGAAGTGGAGCCATTCCCTTCATCGGATCAAACCTGATCCCCCCGCCTCCCTCCCAGGCGCCATATGAACCCTAAACGTTTAGTGGTTCCTAATAAATACAATTAAAAGTAGTTAGTGGTAGGTCTAACGAGCGAACTACCTCATTACTGTTCCCCTCAGAGGGTCTGGTGTCGTACACGATGCCTGACGGTGACCCCCGGGGCGGAGACTACAACCTCCGTGACCTGACCTACGATGGGTCTCGCAAGGGAGGCTGGCTCTCTGGCGGTCTAGGTCAACTGAGTGATGGTGAGACTGGTCACACCAACTTCCGTGTTGATGCTCTGGGACGAGGCAGAGGTAAGTGATGCTGCTGATCTTACTAAGAGAGAGAGAGAGAGAGAGAGAGAGAGAGAGAGTACATGTACAAGGGAGTACAATGGACAGATAGAGGATGGCTTGGAAGTCCATGCCAATGCTGTTTACTGAAAGGAACTGTCTACTTCAACCAAGGTGTGTGAGTCAAAGATAGTAAAGGAAAAGGTCCTGAGAGAGAGAGAGAGAGAGAGAGAGAGAGAGAGGATGTAGCACTTCCGTTTCCTTCCTTCATGAAGCCTCACTGGAGGAAGGGAATAATCAGGTATCCCTGAAGGGGCACCGTCAAGTGGTTGCCCCAACTGTTTTTGTCTCTAAAGTTTCGTTATTGTCTCGCTTATAACACTAGAACGCCTCATTCGAAGGGTTTCAAGTTTTCGAACGATGGTTTACTGTAACAAGTGTGGACAGGGCAGTAAGTATGCGTTACTCAACTGATTCCAACACTCTTGGAACAGAATTCAGTAACTTGAATGATTTGATCCGTTTGGACTATTAACTACTCACATGTGTCACGTGGAGCGTATGTTGTCCTGGAATTAAGCGCTAAACCCACAATGGGGGATCAATCCCGGTCGATTTTTATTGGGTAAGGACGGATTTCAGGTGATTAGCTGTTGTAGATCCTTGTGTACGGGTACCATAGGGATTAAGTTTGCCTGTAATCGTTTTATAAGATTTTGTGAGACGTACAGAGAAGGTTGTGGTACGTAACATACTTAAGAAAATTACGAGCAATTTTGGATTTTTTTAAGGTGTATGCATAAAAATTTCGTCATCTCGCCTATGAGTGAATTATCAAACCATTCCATGGGCGGGGTTAGAGCCCGCGATCAGAGTCATAAAACTCCAGACCGACACGTTTCTCAGTAGTAGTAACCAGTTACCAGTAACCAGTGTACCAGTAGATGACTCACTACCAACCGTCTCTGCCTGAGTCACTGTCTGTATTCATATTGTGCTGACCACAGCAGTATTCAAAGACCCCCTCACATATGGGTACTGTGGGCGGCCAGTTAGTCTGACGAGAGTAAGCAAGGAGATAGGTACGGCTGTTTGGGCGCTACCCACATTATCTGTAATATACGTACTACCAGCCTACGTATTACTTTACCCTATCCACGTGTTCGAATCCCACATGATACGTTAGCCACTGGGCCAGGGCGTCGGTCTGGAGTTTTATGACTCTCTGATCGCGGGTTCAAACCTCGCCCGTGCTATGGTTTGCAATCATGAGTCATAAGTAAATTATTTTTGTTATATTGTGTATTTATAGCTTTGATGAGTAAGACACAATTGGGTATCTTGATTGTTCAGACGTTTCATCTACACCGGAGACTTCTTCAGTTAAATAGAGGCAGCAGGTGTAATAGTGAAATGAAGATGAAGTAATCAGTCCCTCAACCTGGAAGACATGAGGTGTTGTTCCACAGATGTCTTAATCATCAACTTGTCGGTATTTTATACCATTTTCAACGTTATTAGCTTTATTTCCAAACATATATAGACTCTTATTAGTATTTAAAGTCTATTGGTAGTCACCTACATAAATATCTTCACAAGATCCTCGTTGATCGTGTCGTTGAGGACAAGATCTGAATTTCGTTTAACGAAATGTGTGTTATCTGCAAATGGGACTGATTTAAGTTCGTGAGAGGCATTAGGTAGGTCAGCGTAAATAAAGAATTAAAGAAGGCCTAGGACGCTGCCCTGCGGCACTTCTATAGTGGGTATTGTCATTAATGGCCACGTGCTGACATCTAAGATAGAACTTGCTGACATGGTAAGATAGAACGTAATAAAAACAAGAGCATGACCTCTGAGCCCACATTGCTTTAAGCAGTAAGATGTTGTAGTGTACTGTGTCCAATCTTGAACATTCAGTATCATACAGAACCCCTTGAGAATAATCTTGAACTCTTTAGTATCATCCTGATTACCCTAGTATCATTGTGAATCCTCTTGGTATCATCTTAAATCCTTTACTATTAACCCAAACCCTCTCAGTATCAATCTGAACCCTCCTAGTATCATTCTAAACATCTTTGTATCTTCCTGAAACTTAGTATCTACAAGAACCATTAATATCTTGAACCTTTTAGTATGATCATGAACCCCTTATTAGTGTTATCCTGAACTCTTTTGTGTTGTCTTGAACGCTTTCCCAACTTAATTTATTTCAGGGCCTTCGTGAACCTCTTAGTACTGTCCAAAGCCATTTAGGGAAATCCTAACACTCTTGCTGCCATTCTAAAGCTTTTGGTATCATCCTAAGCCGTTTTACTGCCACCCTGAATCCATTTAATGCTATTCTGAACCTCTTTAGGCTAGTAAACTCCAGGTTACGATCTCCTTAACGAAGCTGTAATGCCTCATTATCGAGAAGTCTACACGATGAAGTAGTCTACATGCTGTAGTAGTCTACACACTGAAGTCTACACACTATAGTCTACATGCTGTAGTAGTTTACACACTGTAGTCTACATGCTGTAGCAGTCTACACACTGTAGTCTACATGCTGTAATCTACAGTGCCTTGTAGGTCTACACACTATAGTCTACATGCTGTAGCAGTCTACACACTGTAGTCTACATGCTGTAATCTACATGCTGTAGTCTACACACTATAGTCTACATGCTGTAGTAGTCTACACACTGTAGTCTACATGCTGTAATCTACATGCTGTAGTCTACACACTATAGTCTACATGCTGTAGTAGTCTACACACTGAAGCAGTCTACAAGCTGAAGTAGTCTACACACTGTTGTAGTGTACACGCTGTAATAGTCTACACACCTGAAGTCTGCAAACTGAAGTAGTCTACACACTGTAGTAGTCTACACACTGTAGTAGTCTACACACTGTAGTAGTCTACACACTGTAGTAGTCTACACACTGTAGTAGTCTACAAACTGTAGTAGTCTACACACTGTAGTAGTCTACACACTGTAGTAGTCTACACACTATAGTAGCCTGAAGTCTACACACTGCACCTAAGTCGTCACCCAAACCATCAAGGAATCTCTCAAGAGACCATTTTGACGTGATCCAAATAGATAAGAGTTGTTGAAGGGGATAGCAAGTTGCTAGACGAGGTTGTTATGAAGGGTTTAAGCAGAAGGGAGGTGTAAAAAGGGCGTAGAGAGGGAGGCGAAGGAAGGGAGGGTGTAGAGTGTATGAGTCGGTAGTGGTAGGGAGGAGGGTGTAGGATGGAAGGCTTCACTCACTTTAGAGTGCGGTAGAATGTAGAGTGTTGTAGAATGTCTAAACTTCTCCTCAGGCTGGTAGAAGAGCCAGAAGGCTAGCATGGTTTACACACTTACTCTCTCCTCTCCTACTATTCACACACTAAGAGCTAAGGGGAATGTCCTACGAAGAAAGGTTAAGGGAAATTGGCCTGACGAAACTGGAGGACAGGAGGGTCAGGGGTGACTTGATAACGACATACAAAATATTGCGTGGAATAGACAAGATGGACAGAGACAAGATGGACAGAGACAAAATGGACAGAGACAAGATGGACAGAGACAAGATGGACAGAGACAGGATGTTCCAGAGAGGGACACAGAAACAAGGAGTCACACCTGGAAGTTGAAGACTCAGATGAGCCAAAGGGATGTTAGGAAGTATTTCTTCAGTCATAGAGCTGTCAGGAAGTGGAATAGTCTAACTAGTGATGTAGTGGAGGCAGGAACCATACATAGTTTTAAGGCGAGGTATGACAAAGCTCATGGAGCAAGGAGAGAGAGGACCTAGTAGCGACCAGGAGAGGTGGTCAGAGCCGTGAGTATCGACCCTGCAACCACAAATGGTGGTGCACGCACACAACTAGTACGGACGTTTTATGCCTATCTAGTAAAAATATAAAAAAAACAATGCTATATGTCTGACATTTGTTGGTTATCTTGGGTTATTTACACAATGTATGTTAATTGAACCTGTGTGTACCTGTGCATAAATAAACTCACTTCCACCAATCCCCGGACACCTCCATGATAATGACCCAGCAACTCCCCCAATTTATTATTATTATATATATTTTATTATTATTATTATTACTATTATTAATGGGTGATATATTAACTGAAGTTACGAACCGTGACAATGATTCTCGATAGTTTTGTCTCTCGCACTGGTATACGTTGTATTGTTACTCCTAATGGATATTAACTTAACCATGATATTTAAAGGGGTGGAGTGGTAAGCCGGAGAAGGCCTCAGTCAAATGACCAAAAGCACCAGGTGTGGGTCATCATCTGACCCGCGTCAGGAAACACTTGTCCTTTTTCCTGACAAACCTGACCTAACCTGACCTCACTCTCTCCTGCCTATCCAGCAGACACTGTACTTTCACTTCCTGAGTGACTCCGACAGTTGTTATCCTCCACAGTGTGTACTGGAGTTCTATCTGGAGGATGTTCCGGGGGTCAACGCCCCCCGGCCCGGTCCATGACCAGGCCTCCCGGTGGAAAATTTAACAGATAAAAACAGCATTAAAAACTCTCAATGTTATTTAAAAGCTAAATTATTATAACTTGGCAAGACAGATTAATGGTCCCGGAACATACAATAACGTATATTATTATTATTATTATTATTATTATTATTATTATTATTATTATTATTATCATATAATAAGTGCCAATTACATTAATGGGAAACACTAAAACCCATGGGTAATTAGTGCCTGGGAGCATTTAGGTCAAGAGCCCTCACTGGCATCCACGAACTACCCCTTGAGGGGGTGACCTAAGCCCTAAAACCCACAAGGCTCACCACAGTCGACACGTTTCCTTGAATGCCTCACAGATTTCTCATCTGCTGTGAATTAGTCTTTAATGGATCTCTTTTCCAACGTCACAAACCCTGGTGTATCTCTCTCACATTTCTCATCCTCCTCAACGTGGGGGAACTGTGTTACCTGGATGCTGAACGATTCCCGAGCCAAGGAATCGCATCTGTCTCCTACCAGATGGCATCCCATT